CACAATACCCTTCCACAACTCCCACTCAACACAACAATACTCAATCAAATTTAACATTAGAAGGAAACAGCATTGCACAAGCACAGAAAACAAAATTTATCGGAATTACTATACAATCTAACCTGAAATGGAACTCGCACCTAGAAGATATTAATTCAAAATTGAGCAAACTTAATTATGCTCTTAGAATAATAAGAAGAATCAGCACTATAGAGACAGCATGAACAGTGTACTTTGCAAATGTGCACTCTATTCTCAAATACGGGATAATATGGGGCCAAGCACCAGAGGCTAAACAAACATTCAAAATACAAAAGAGAATCATTCGAACAATAACAAATACAAAAAGAACAGAGTCCTGCAGACCTCATTTCTAAAAACTTAACGTACTTCCACTGCCTTGTATTTTTATTTATGAAGTTATCATGTTTGTAAAGAAAAATCTAGTAAACAATGACACACTTTACAAATTTAACTCAAGCTTGCACCCCTATAACACAAGGCAAGCATATAACCTTCATCAACCAATGTGTACAAGCACATTATACCAAAAGAGTACGTTCTCTTCAGGTATACAATTCTTTAACAAATTACCAATACATCTGATAAACAGGCTGGTACAACTTCAAGAAAAAACTCAAACACTTCCTTGGGGAAAAACTTTTTTATAGCATTCAGGAATAACTCAATGACTAACACGTGATTTGAGGTGCTGCAGTAGGACTACGTGTAGAAATAGGAAAAAATCGAACCATAACCTGCCTCCTCCTCTTCATTTCAAGATTTAATCAAGGAATATACTAATACTGTTAATTCATATGTAGCTGTTACCATAATTGTTATTATGTACTGTTAGTATTACTATTATTATTATTTTATAAGTAATATTATCTATTATATTTATTATTATTTATAGTAAAATATTCAAAAAATACATATTGCAAAGACTGACCAACTACCTGGAAAAATATAAAATAATAGATAACAATCAATTTGCATATCAATAAAGCAAAAATACCATAGACTTATTGGAAAATCTAGGAGAAGTATTAAATGAAAAATTACTCAAGGGATTGCATGTGATAGCATTGAGCATTGACTTGTCAAAAGCTTACGATGTAATAAGCCATGAAAAGATGTTAGATACACTGAAAAGCATAGGGGTTAGAGGCAAAGTTTTACAGTTATTAAAAAACTATCTAGAAGGAAGATCATTTAGGGTCAAAATAAATAACACTTATACTGAAATAAAAACTATGAAAAGGGGAATTCCACAAAGAAGTTTCCTAGGCCCTATACTTCATCTAATATTTGAGAAAGACTTAAAAAATTATCTAGAAGATGGTTCCTATTATATTTATGTGGATGACATAGTGCTATTATCTATAAACAGACCAAAAGAAGGCAGAAATGGAGTTACAGGAGAAATTTGGAATATTCCAAAAATGGTGCCATGATAAAGGTTTAATAAATAAATGAGAAAAAAACTAGAATACTGCATATCCCAGCTCCAAAAATTGCAAGAGCACAAGTTAAAATATTCTTTCACAAAGCTGACTGCATACACAAAGACTTTAAGAACTGTCGATGTAATAATATAATTAATTCTGTAAGCAAACTGAAGTATTTAGGTGTAACTTTTGATCAAAATCTGAGCTGGAGGGACCAGATCTTGGAATTAAGCAAGAAAATAAGAACATGTATTTGGAAACTAATGAGAATTAAAGAATTTGTATCTTATAAAATTTTCAAATTGGTCTACTTCTCATTAATAGAGTCTCTGATAAGGTATGGAATTGGAGTTGGGGGGGCTGCTGCAAATTCGCATGTAGATATTATACAGAACAAATGTATTAAAAGCTTCAATGAAAAGCTGAACATAACAAACCTAACCCTCCTGGAAGGGAGTGCAGCAATGCATGGAATCATGGCTGTTAAAAAACTATGAATTTCAAATGCCACAAAAATAATTTTTCAATGAAAAATACAGAAAAATCAGTGAGCACAGCTATGAAACTAGAAAAAAAACACAATTTCATACTTCCAGAGACTTTTAATAAATTTGGAGAGAGGATGCTTAACAGAGCCATTCCAAAACTGCTCAATTCAATGCCGGATGAAATATTAGAAGTTACAACTAAAAGGGAATTGAAAAAAAAATTAAAAGAATGGTACACAAGATACTAGGCATGGCATGAAAATTGAAAGCTCAGGAGTTATCTCTTTAGCGTGATGCCTATTGCAATTTTATTTTATTTATATTTCATTTGTTAATTTAAAAAAAAAATTGTTTTTGAATTCTTTTAGATTTTGGATATGTCATTACAAGTTTCAAATATGTGAATTAAGTATAACATAACTCCCTTTTTTGCCAATTATTAACTGATGTACGGTCATTATAAGATTTTATATTGTTAATTATGTACAAGTAAATCCTCACTGACACTGTAAACTACTGTTATCACAAGATTCGAATTAGTAAAAAATATATAATGTATTCCTTATGTTACTCTCATTCAGTTTTATTGTTTTTTGTTTTTTTTTTGTTTTTTTTATATTTGGGTTATTCTATTTTATTTTTATTTTATAATTTACATAATAATTTGATTGTAAATTATCAACTAGTAATCATGTCAGTTGGTCACTGTATAGACTAAGTTTTGTTTATGAGTCCTGTTATTTGTTGATTTGATTTGTCACTACAAGTCTTCAACATGGTAATTAAGTATAACTTAATACTTATTTTTGTGTGTTGCCAACTGCCATCTACTCTCATTTGTTTATAATCCATTTGTTAGTTGAGATAATAATTGGATGATTTTGTTTCCTTTTGCCTGTTGAGTTTTGTCATTACAAGTTTTTATGTTGTTAATTATGTAGAGCTAAATCTTCATACTGTAAACGGCAGTCATCACAAGATGATAATTTGTAAAAAATGTATAATGTTCCTATTACTCTCATTCAGTTTTGTTAATTGTTCACAGTATGGACTAATTTTTGTTTTCGTGTCCTATTATTTAATTCCTAATTATATAATTGGACAATTTAACTCATGTTTATGTCAGCTGCCATTTGGCTTAAAAGTTCTATTTGTTTCTTGATTTGTTTATTTAGATAGTAATTTTATTTCATTTTGCTTGTTGATTTGTCACTACAAATTTTCAAAATGTTAATTAAGTATAACTTAATTTTCATTTTAGCCTGTTGCCAACTGCAATCTCTTTTTATTTATTTACAATTGATTTGTTATGGTACATAATTTTATGATTTTGATTTCTTTTTGCCTGTTGAGTTTCCTTGCAAAAAAATCTAAATTTCAATATAAACAATTCATGCATCATACAGTAACTGGCAAACAGTACAGGTGATGGGTGAACTGTAATCAGCAATGGCAATCCAAAAAAGAAAAAACAAAACAAACAAAGAAACGTACAATGTAACACACCTTTCTCTGACAAGCACAGAAATTACTTAGAGAGGGTTTGAAGTGTACTGAATAAGATAAAATAAATTTAAATTTAAATCTAATAACCAGTATTTTTACTAAAAGGTTAAACATACAAGGATGTAATGTATGTAATGTCGAACAAAATTGGTATTCTTTCTTATAGTTTTTATGGTGATGGTTTTTGTACACTGTCAATGTAATTCTTTTGAAAAATAAATTATTATTATTATTATTATTATTATTATTATTATTATTATTATTATTATTATTATTATTATTAAACTCTTCTTCCGTTTAGAATCGTCAAGAGCATATGAAACTGTTATGAAACCAAAAAGTTAAGAGAATTTCAAAAAAGTGTATTCTGGGCGGCGATAGATGGCAGCTGCGAAGAATATGTGGCAAGTTCGTGTATATCAAGCCGAAATCAAAGGCAGTAGAAAACTAATACGGAATGCGCTATTCTGTAGCATCACTAGTTGTCGTTAATGATAGATTTCGAAAAGGTGCGCTGTAGCACTTCGCAGTAGCGTAACGAAATGAGTGCGGGCCCACTTTATAAATGCATATAGCAAACACTAGTAGTGTTAATACCTTAAATAATGAAAATATCCCCTAACAATAGACCCCCTTTTTACCCGGGTCTGAACGTTTCGCCACTGGCACTACGTAATATTTAATTTCGGTAATTTTGATCCATTCCTTGTTTCTTCATTTTTAAGCCGATTTTTAGAGAATTGATTGAAGACATTTGGGGATGAAACTTTCCAAACAATCTGGCAACTCTGTAAATGGTTCAACGTAAAATCAATTTTATTTATTAATTGTATCATTTAATGATAAGTTACAATTCCTCTCTCCCTGTAGTACGTTTTAATATTTCCTATGAAAATTTATCGTAAGTAAATAAAAAAAAGTTTAATAGAAAACGGGGCCAAGAAATGTAGTTGTCCCTCATGTTTCGGGCTGTGCATGCATATGACATAATTAAACAAATGCTTTGCGATCACTACATTCACTCTAGGAACTCATGGCTTCGCACACAAGAACATGCTATTCAAAACTTTCCCGCCGTAAAATGTTACGTCAGTCATGGAAATCACCAGTAAATCAAAGAGTCTGCATAGCTAACGTACACTGACATTTCACAAAGAGTATATACGTGGTAGTATATAAGTGAATAAATGTGGAAAATGATATGTTGCTTCTTCTATGCTTCGCAAGGCGAGTTCCCGCGCTCTCAAATACACTTGCGTAAAGACGCGTTTCATCTCGACCAGATCTCGACATAGCAAATGTGATGTTTGCGTAGAATTGCCCTATTACCAAGACAGTGATTACAAATTCAAAAATTGTTACGTTCTTGTGAGTTTATCGTGTCATTGGAGTAGCGAAGAAAGTTGAGGAGGACTTTTAAGTTTTAGAGCCAATTTGTAAAAAGTGTTCGTGAATTTGGATGATATTTCTCGGCAATTCCTTGGTTTATTCTTTTTCATGTCTTGCGTTATGAAAGTGTTAATGTGTTCAGATGAGATGCAGGTGATGTTGCGCGATGCTGTGTAGTGATGAAGAAATACCATTTGTGGAACCCGTTACCAAGTACAAATTAAAGTTTTCACGAGAGTGTGGGCGGGAGCGATTGATTGTACAAAGAATTAAAATGGATTCCAAATATGTAAATAGCCCTAATGCAACCAATAAGAGAATTCTTAGCGAAAATAGTGAAATAAACAATTCTCCCCGGACACTTAAGGAAACCATGAACAGCCCCGTTGGGCAAAATGAATATGTAGGCCTCTCGCCCAGCAAGAGACCGTCAGTGAGAAAAAGTGTGGAGAAATTAAATGATGCAGGTATTACAGAAATGCTTTGTGATTCTGGAAGTAGTGTTGATTCAGAAGGAGACGATGAACCTAATGAAAATTTTCCTCAAAAAGCTTTAAACACAAGAATTTCACGAAAGAGTAGTGAAGCAAGGGAGAACTGGGTAAAAGCTTTGCGAAATTCAGATTTAAGTTCAGTGAGAAAGTCTGGCAATCATAAAATATCTAAGACCACTAGGAGAAGTCTTATAAATAAAAATGATGTGGATGAGGACAATAAAAAAGATAAAGAAACTCCAAAAAAGAACATTTCAAAAATAGATGACAAAGAAGTGTTAAAAGTGTCTGCGGAAGGAGCAAGACGTCCTCGGCGGAAGTGTAAATCAAAATTCGATGCTGCAGAATGGGATGTTGGGAATTCAAAACGAAAGAATAACAAGAGAGTAAATGAAATTGCCATGGAATCTGAAAGCCTGCAATCTAGTGATGAAGAAAACCTGCGATCTAGTGAAATGGAAAAGAAATCATCAAAGAGAAGAATGACATCTCGATTCAAAAGTAAGAATGTTGGTAGTCTCAATCTAAAGAATAATAGAAAAGTAAACCTTGAGTTTGTTGATCCACAGCCTTCCAGTGATGACCACTCTTCTGACAGTCAGCCAGTAAACAGAAGAACACAAGCATCTAGGTATAAAAATAAAATTCCAAAGAAAAACATGAGAGTGAACAAAAATGCTGTTGAAATTAACGGACACAAATCTTCTAGCGATGACCAGTCGGAAGACTGCCAGTCATTACAGCAAAGAATATCAGTTTTTCAGCGTAAGAGAAAATCAAAAGGTAATGGCATTGAATGTGATGTAAAAGAAACTTTTCAGAAGTCAAGGCAAAGGTTGTTAAGAAAGACTTCAGCTAAAGCTATTGAAACATCGACAGATTCATCTTCTAGTGATTATGAGATTTTTGCAACCAAGCAATCAGTGTCTTGCAATGGAAATAAACAAAATAGAGATACTGCAGAACAAAAGTCAAAAGGAACTCCTAGCAAAAGAGCAATTGGAAAGTCTTCAGTTGAAGAGAATGAAGAAACTAATAATGGTAGTGACAGCCCTCTTGTAAGTTACGTTGATGATGAGAAAGTTGCAATGATGGAAAATACAATGGAAGGTTCACCTGTAAAGTGTGTAAATAAGACTCCAGTGGAAGGTAATCGCATAAGCCGAAGAAACACTACCATACCTATGAGCCCAGATGTTACATGCGCTAAGAAACATCAAAATGAATTTACACCAAAACACAAGTTAATTTCATCAGGCATTGATGTTAACGAGGAAAAAAAATTGACTCCAACAACTCCTTCATCCAGGAGAACTGGCTTTAAACGGTTGTTGTGTACTCCATCAATGCCTGCTTGTAAACGTGACTTAGGAACTCCCCGTACACCATTGCAACAAGCTATGACCAAGCTTCATGTTGCTGCAGTACCCCAATCTCTACCATGCAGAGAAGCAGAGTTTGCAAATGTTCATCGCTTTCTTGAAGGAAAAATTTTAGATGGTGCGGGAGGGTGTATATATGTTAGTGGAGTTCCTGGCACAGGGAAAACTGCTACTGTTCGTGAAGTGGTTCGTAGTTTGAAACAGGATGTTCAGAAAGGTGATCTACCTGATTTTCAGTTCATTGAAATAAATGGCATGCGTTTATCACATCCTCGTCAAGCGTATGTTCAGTTGTGGAAATCTCTAGTTGGTGAAACTGTGACAGCAGAACAAGCCCAGAGATTGTTAGAGAGCAGATTTACAAAGAGTTCTAAAAAACAAATGTCAATTGTTCTTCTTGTAGATGAAGTAGATGTGTTATGGACAAGGCGGCAAGATGTCGTGTATAATTTGTTAGATTGGCCTACAAAAGCAAAATCACACTTGGTTGTCATAACAATTGCCAATACTATGGATTTACCGGAACGTTTGTTGATGGGCCGTGTAACATCTCGACTGGGACTGACCCGTTTGACATTTCAACCATACACTCATAAGCAGCTGGAAGAAATAGTGAAAGCCCGTCTTCAAGGAATCAATGTGTTTGATCCTGATGCAGTTCAATTTGTTTCTAGGAAAGTTGCTTCAGTGTCAGGGGATGCACGACGTGCTTTAGATATCTGTCGAAGAGCTACGGAAATTGCTGAGCAAGATTCTCCTGATGCTTTGGTTACTATTAAACACGTTGATGAAGCCATGTTAACAATGACCTCATCCCATTCCGTCCAAGCTATTGTGCATGCATGTAGTACCATGGAGAGACTGTTTTTACAAGCTGTGGATAGTGAATTGACACGAACAGGCTTGGAAGAAACGACTTTCTCCAGGGCATATACAACGATGGAAACGCTGTGTTCTTTGGAAGGTCTTCAGTTACCTTCAGCTTCACTCATTATGAAAGCATGTATGAATTTAAGCAATATGAGGTTATTATTGTGTCAGCATTCTAATATGGATATATTCACACGCATATTTCTCAATGTTAGTTCTGATGATTTGCATTATGCCTTGAAATGTGTGAGAAAAGAATTGTAGATTTGGGAGTTGTTTCATTGAATGTTATTAACTTCAGTGGTTACAATTATTAGAAAAGATCTAAGAGAATAGTTTATTTCTTTTCAAGGTTTATATTTTCTTCTTTCATGTCAAATGTGAAAAGTATGAAAGACAAAAGAATAAATTGTATTGGCAAGAAATACTCTTCTCAAATAGTGTCAAATATTTGAATAACTTGATGTTAATAACAAGTCTCTTGTTTTTTTGTTGTTGTTTTTTGTTTTTTTTTCCTTCTACGTGTTAAGGTACAGGGCATAGGATTTGGCACCACCATCATGCATCCAAAAGAAGAAAAAAAATGTTTGCCTTTTAATATGTATTGATTTTGTATCAATTCCAAATACGTTTACAAATAATTTCTATACAATGACTGAAGACATGAACTGAACAAAAATGCTATAAAAATGTAACCTGGCATATACTAAAATTGTTAATTTTACATAGGATATAGTAACCCTTTCAAATCGCGATATTTTGATTGTTTCGAACAGTAAAAATATATTATTATTATTATTATTATTATTATTATTATATTCTCTCTATCGTGGAACTGAGGAACTAATAATTGTAATAAATTGTAACCGTAAGTTAATACTTAAATTATGCAATCACATCCCATCACATTATTTTACTTAATTTTGTATTGTGAAATGTTGAGTTTTATTTTTCTTATGGATTGATTTATCTGTTTTTGAGATTATATTTGTGCCAAGAAGAAATTTCCTGTGACTTAGTGTTTATTGTAAACCTGAAAAAAGGCTGTGATACTACTTTATTTCGAATTATATTCACTGATTTTTTTGCACGTTGAATGCCATGCTCTAAAGCAGTTTGATGTTATATTGTGAATATTTATGTTCTGAACTAGCTAATTATCTGCTAGGCAGAGATGCACAATTTAGTCTGTTGAATTTGATGTAGGCACAGTTTTTAAGATAAGTATTTTTTCTTCTGTTGAGAAATGTTCTCATGATTATTTTTTTTCTTTCTTTTTGTTCTAATTAAGTTATATCAGAATATTTCAATATGAAATAAAACTGATAGTGTCTCATGTTAATTGTAATGCTCTAGAGAAGTCAGTTGATTTTATTGTGTTTAAGTTCTGGGGTTGATATTGAACCAATAGAGATACATAAATTTGACTGTCGAATTTGATGTAGGAACAGTTTGTAAGATTAATATTTTAAAACAGTTTTACTTCTGAAGATAAAAATGTTTTAATGAAATTGCTTATTTGTAGTTATGTTGTTTCAGAAGATTTGGAACTGGAACTGATAATGTTGTCTAATTTCTTCTTCTAGTTTTTAAAATTTGTCCTGAAATGGAGTGGTTAATATTTTTCGTTGCTGTTTGATTCAATCTTGCTTTGTGTTCAATATAATTCTTAGACTGTGTGAAATGTGTAAAATTACTACAGATAGTATTGCATAGAATTATATAAATTTATTTAATTTTTTGTACGTTTTAATAATATGTATTAATTATGAATATTTTTATATCTTGTTTTTATATATATCATCACTTTTGGGGATTACTGATAAAAAAGAAAGTACATGCTATTGTAGCACCTAGGTTTTGGAGAGCTGTGTAATGGTTTCACTGGGGGTGTAAACTCGCTTTTCTTAGCAATTCTTTCCTGTCTCAATATTGCTATTAAGTCTTAACACTTTTTTACTTATAACATTTTTTTTTACTTTGAAAGTTGTGTGTGTTGCATGTGGAAAACTAAAAATATTTTTTAAAATATTGTTTTAAGTAGAGGTCACATCATTGGTAATGAAATGTGATTTGGTAATAAGTAACCTTTTTGACTTGTGCTGCCACTAATCTTATAAATATTTAACATTTAATTTAATAAGTTACTTATTATGTAATATTTAACTTTTAAAATAGATTTTCTACTTATAGAAAATTTTTCATAAACCATCCAAACACCTTACATACTTTTCTCGAAATAGTTATTTTGAATTAAATCAACAAAGCATGTAGAAAATTTGTTTTCAAACTGAGAAAAATTTATATTTCAAAAGTTTCAAGTTGTAAAGTCATGGAAAATTTAGCTGGGAAGGATTTTGAGTTGGGAAATGGTCAAAAATTTCTTAATTTAGGTCAGAATGAATGTTGAAAACATTTTACTTCATTCTGTTTAAAGGCATTTTTTTTTACTCTATTATCTGTAGATGCTTTTGAGACAGAAATCTGGAAACAGCAGGGAAAACATACACATAAACACCAGACACCCTTATTTTAATTTGAATGCACAAATTTTAAATATATGATTTACTTTAATTTGTTTGTCCGAAGCAACAACAGCACAACACTAACCAAGGAAAAGTAAAAGTGTTGAATACAGGAACTGGGGACAAGTAATAGCTGTTTTCTACATAAAGCTGTGATGCCCCAAGAAAAACATGAGAGAAACATTAAAAAAATTGCTACCAAATGATCTTTTTTTTTTTTTTTTTTTCACTGTCAGTAAAATGATGTTATGTGTTATCCATTTAAATGTTCAACATATCCAATGAGTTACGTGTTTGAATTTATGTAAAAACATCTTGACATTTGCACTTCAAGATTTTTTTATTTTTCATCCTTTCATCCAGACATACTCAGAGGGAAATATTGCAAACCTATTTTTTATTATTATAAATATTATTATTATTTGCTTATCAACTATTTCTGACTATGCTATATGTTCTCTCCCGAGCCCAGTCATATTCAGCTTTTCGGCCTTGATTTAATAAATTAAGAGGAGAAAGGTGATCATGACCATAATAAATGTGCGAATGAACATGCTTTCAGGGGCATTGCCTCAGAATATTATTCCATATTTTAGGTGTGAGTACACATTTGCTAAAAACATAGCTCAAAGTGTCCCGATGTTGGAGCTTGACCTGAGGGTGTATAGGCATAGTAAGATTTGGTGAGCTTCTGTTAGGATTTGAAAAGTGAGCATTTCATTTTAGGTTTTCTTGAATTGTTAGCCCGAGGAAGGTAGTTTCATGAGGTATCGTTACAGGGTTATTTTTCATAAGCAAATGCTGTGAGTGTTTTTCTTTAGATCAGAGATTCATGAAATTTAAAGAGACTGTCTTGCTGGTGTTTATGATGAGTTTGTTGTCTTGAAACCATTTTACTTGTGCATGCAAAGTTTTGTGAGGTTCTTTTCATGATTTTTGTTTTTGCTTTGATGGTGATGTTTGTGTCATCTGCAAACAAAATTTTTGTTATTCCTTAAAGCTAAAGGTAAGTCATTTGTGTATATAAGGAATAGTATTGGTCCAAGGATGGATGCTTGCGAGAATCCACCATTTATCATCTGAGGGCAGGAGTAGAAGGAGATTTTGTTTCCCTTAATGTGCTGGAGGGCAACTATTTGGCTTCGGTTTGATGAATATGATTTGATCCATTGGCCTGCCATGCCTTGAATCCCTAGCATTTCTAGTTTTGTTAAAAGTATGTTATGGTCAATAATATCAAAGGCTTTTGAAAATATTAGGAAAAGGCCAGTGGGAATTTCCTTCTGATTTAGTGCAACAAGTATGTCATTTAAAAAGGAGAAGTCTGTGGATCTATTACACCTGAAGCCATGTTGTGTATTTGTGAGGACATTATTTGCAATGAGGAATGGTTTGAGTCTATCATTGAAGTCTTTCCAGAATATTTGACATTCGTGATAACAGGAGGATAGGTCTGTAGTTCATTGGTTTATAACTATTACCCTTTTTAAATGAACTTTACTGGCCTGTAGACATTACAAATTAATGTGAATTCTATGGAATATTACATTATAACAGAGCATTATACAATACCAATAGTGTTGAAAAGAAACAAAAATATTACCGCACATTCGCTGTTGAACATGATTTTTGAACCTTTCTTTTTTCTAGCTACATCTCTAAGAATCAACATGCGCAATTCGGAGAAAACCTACCTCATCAAATGGGAGAATTTTGCAAAATCTTAAGCCTAAACAGTCGAAAGGGTTCGCGCGCTTTCGAGAGGTCGGGACTGTGACGCGCGCGCGCAACGCGCTTCATTCAAATCGAGCGAAAAGACCTAGCAAGAGTTCGTACATTCCTCTGGGTGGTCTTGGAGCAATTAAAATATCCTCACTCCTGGAGAACATTGCGTTTGATAGTAACCAGATATTCAGAAAACTGGAATTTGATGGATATAATGATTAGTGCGATCTGAATGAAAATCTTAATTCAATTAATATTCCCAATACTACTCCCTGTGAGAAAATGGGTGATCTTGAGAGTTAATAGACTTTTTTAAACATTCACTACAGTATTATCATTTTTTATTGTGCCATGCATCAGTTTTTTGCTCCTGAACAATGATTATTTACTCAATTATTCGCAAATTATTCATATTTTATTTTTTATCATGGAGATACACAGTGGATTGTCATTGTCTTTTGCACCACAGATGCTTACACAGAACTCAAAGCAACAATCTGTAGAGCATACTGTGTGGGCATTCAATTCAGAAAGAAATAGACTTTGCAGTGGCTTCAAATGTGTTGTAATGATAAAATACTGTCTTTCAATGTACAGGTGAATGCAGAGTTGGATTTTCTCCTAGCAAATTTAGGCTTGGGACTCCCACCCCCATGCCCGGAATTTTTAAAATAAATATTAAAAACTTAATAAAATGTTTTTATCTGAATAAGCATTAATCAAATGGTTTACTGAACAACAATGTTTTATTTCAAAAAAAAAATTGTACGGAACAATAAGAAACCAAACATGTAATTGTAAATGAGACATTTAAAAAGCAATTTCTACTTTGAAAGCAATATATTAATTTACATCTGTATTGGAACAATGATTTATTGTATCATAATTAGTTTTTAGTATTAAAGATTTTTCTGAAGGAATGCCCAGTATAGTTTTGTGCTTGAAGGCTTATAGTATTTAAATCTGCATAGGCAAATTTAATAATTACATTTTAGTGAAATTGTAAGAGGAATGATATATTCAGCCTTTGGTAGTTTTAATATTGTAATAGAAATTCCTTTCCTCTTCAGCACTATATTTTATCTAATTATTTGCATTTCCTGAACAGTAGTAATGCATTTTGATTGGTTCTCGTGTCTTTATTTTAAAAACATTTAAACCTCTTTTCATTTTAAGTGCAACATCAAGAAAAGGATTACAAAAGACTCAAAAATGCAAATCTCTTTTGAAGCTTTTATCTCCAACAATGTTATAATTTTAGTATTGAAGATCTCAATAATTCAGCTCTCAGAATTATATGTTGCAGTAATTTCATTTTATCAGCTTTAATTTGATATGTACTTTACACAATAATCTGCATCTAAATCAATATCATAACACGATATAAAATTATACTGAAAACCAGCAAATAGTTTCTATGAATTATACAATCGCACCACTGAAATAATATGGGACATTGCAATTGCAGACATAGCTGTAAAATTTCATTTAAAACCATTAGAAAATTAAAAATTGACTAAGCAAAATTAAAAAAGCAGTTTAATTAACTAAGCAAAAATAAAATAGAGGAATAACAAAGAAACAAAATATTTTGATGAGAAGTATAATGAGCAGTAGGAGTCAATGATTACGGTTTCTGTCAAGTTAAATATAAAGCTTTATACAATGTACCAAACTGTTAGTCTTGTTAAGCAATCGAATAATCTAAGGTTTGTTCTACCATTGGCTCAGGTAATTCAAGAAATGAAAATTAGAGATAAACAAACATTGAAACAATATTTGAAAACGTTTTATTACGCCACTGTTCTCGTAATATTGGGGGAATTATTTCGTTTTCTCTCAAATTCTGCTTTGGAAATAAACCTTCCGCCAATTCGCTCAGATAGTGATATTTACCGCGTGTCGAACAGGCAACAAACAGTATTCGAAACAACGAATCTTTGAAGAAGCATGAGCCCTGAGCAGTCATGCCATTTCAAGGACATTACGCGTTGCCCAATTTACTAAAGACTTTTCAATCTACTCAAACATGGAAATTTTTGCCATTATTAGCGATCACTGAACAAAAATAAATATATATGTGTCTAATGATACTTTTTATGATTTTGCTCGTACTAATTGTGCAATAGTGCTTTTTATGTTCAATCTTATGCTTCAATTTTTCATCCCGTGGCCACGCGATCTGTTGGTAGTAGTTAAGAAACTAGTCAACGTTAGCTCTTTCTGTGGTATTAAAATATTTTTATTTTACATCTATTAAATTAAATGAATACGAATAATTAAATAAAACTCATCTTAAAAGTCCCTATTTGATTTATGTAGGTCTCACAATAATTATCATATCTCGCAAATAATTATTTTTGAACGTAATATGGACTCTCTATCTACTAGGGAATATCTCGCTCTATCCTCCTTAGACGTGTTCTTTAGGTCGTACCGTATACTACACTTCAGCCGCAGAGGCACGCAAAGTAGGTAAGATTTTATTTTAATAGCTATTTTACAAACAATTTCAGGAATTGAATAAAAAGTTTAACAGAGCGTCTGCTCCAGTACTATTTTTATTACAAGATTTTCCCATTTTCTTCAATGGTGTTTTCACTTCTATCTCTCCTGTCTGCAAGTAATTTTTAACAAAAGACTTTACTTTTAGGGTTCTTGAGGTTCTGAGGAAGTTTCTGAACATGTACCACAAGTTTCTTTGGTTTCAGCAGACGTAGTTTCTTGTATAGTGTCTGAAAAATAAGATTATCATGAACGTTATCTTGTATAGTGTCTAAGTGATATTTATCTTACTCCAACCACTATGGTATACATATATAACAGGGACATAAGATTCTTCTTGCATTATTTTAAGAATTTTATTTCTTTTCAGCCCCCCAGAGTTTCTTTTTCAACAGTAACATGTCTTAAATCATCTGTTATTGCTTTAGAAGCGTAATCCTCATGCAACAGTATAGCCACACTATAAAAAAAACGTCCATTCCTGCCAATGGACAATAGCTAGTTTTGCCGGAAACTGAGTGGACATGGTTGTTTTTGCAAAACTAGCGATATTTTAAAGCACCATAATTTCCCGAACTATAGCTGATTTTTCTACACTATTTAGTACAAATGAGATTTTTTTTAAAAACTCTGGTCTATGAAAACTTAGTGTCAAAATAATGTTGGTCCTTGATGACAACAGAAGGCAAATAATAGGCGAAGACAGCAGGACTAATTTGTTAAGTTTCTTTATTAGGTGATACACGAGGGTAAACTGCACTAACAGGACCAATTTGAATAATTGTCTCGTTCATGAAAAAACTTCACTTGACTCGTCACAATAATACATTTTTGATACCTTGTAGTCCAGCATTTCCTGTACGTACACAATTTTTAAATTTGTTTTACTGTTAACAGTACATTTTAAACTTCACAAGAATGCTGATTGCAACAGCATAAATGTGCACTACTTCTGCATTTATAAGTTTTCTATTTTTCTAATTTTATTTTTTATTATTATTATTATTATTATTATTATTATTATTATTATTATTATTATTAAGAAAATGTAAATAAAACGTGTTGATATGTTTGTTGGGCTATCTGTGAAACTTCTCAGAAAAAAATGCCATGTGTCCCATGGCTTCCTCCATTTACACAAATGACTAGGTACATACAAGAAGGGTGCTCTGTTTGAGGAGACCCTAGCAGTCGGTAGTTTATTACTACACCTAAGAGTAGAGATCCGTGAAAACCCTTTCATTGGGGGACTGTGTGGTTGGTTCTGAAAGAGTAAAAGAAATGATATTTTCTTCAATATTTGTAGGAACAGATGAATTCATCTGACAATTTAGGTTTCAGCTATTTGGCTAGGTCCTCTGAATATTTTGGCGAACGCCTCCAAAAAATGTCTAGTAATCACTCATTTTTGATTTCAAGGTGTCATATATTTGAGTATTCCCAACTTCAAATTTCTTTATCGATACCTTGATAGAAGTGTTGCTTTATTTGTGTTCTTCAATAAGTCTAATTTTGACATATGACACCCTCGTATTTTACCCACACCATCATGTTACGGTAAAGAATCTCGTAAAATACTTTTTTCCCCATATTTTTATTGCAAAAATTCCTTTCATTGAAAGGTTCACCGATTAACACTGATTATAGTGCAATTTTTATAAAGCGTTGCCTCGAGGCCAGTCTTGACAGTAGCATGCATTTTGCTTGTCATGCATTTTGTCTTTTTTCAAGCAGTGCGTGATGGGGCATATACTCTTTGTGATGGGGTAGCGATCATGTGACATCTAGCGGCACGATTGAGAAAGACATGAAATGCTGTAAGATAGTCCATCGTGAAGACTGGCCCCATTATAAAAACCGAAGTATAACCCACGCAATCATGTGGCCACGTGCTTAAAGTCCTCTTCCAACCAGGGCCTTAAAACTCCCATAAAACGTGGTGGAAACCATTTGGTGTACGTAAAACGTGCTTGGCTGTTGCACGAGTTTGCGGGTCGCATTGTGGCTCATCATGTTACAAAAGATAGCGTCAATGTTCGCGCTTTTTTCAGGGGTTTCCTACATGTGTATATTATGAATTGAACATTTAAGATTTTTTCCTATTGCTCACAAATTAGCCAATTTTTATGTGCGAAAGTAGGCGAGCCTAACCTGCAGCTGCATCCAGCGACACTAGCGCCTCCTAGAGTAGCACCATCGAGCTTTGTCCCGTTTTGATGGAGAGTTGAAAGGCCCCGATTCCAACCTTGACACAATTATTAATAATATTATAATAAAAAATATTAATTATATTATAATAAAAATATTAATAATATTATTATAATAATTAATAAATTATAATACCCGCACTGCAATTTTCAGTTAGTAATTTTTGAAAAAATATGCGGGTTATATTAGAGTTTATGCAGTAATCGGTAGGGGAGCGGACTTTTCGACATTTGGTTAGAGTACAATGCTATTTAGATTAATACGTTTGTGCTTATTTGGCCAATGTTTCCTGATAGTGCATATATGTGTAATTATAGACGCATATTTTGCATATTTCTTTAAAATATAGACTAATCTATAAAACGTTTCATTTTGTCATAGAATCTATTTATTTATGAGCGTTCATTGATTTGAAAGAGCTTGTCACAGTTAGCATGTCTGGTTTTAAAAAATCGTTAGTCGATAAAATACTTGTTCAAATATTAGGATATTTCATCATAACAATTTTTTAAGACGGTCAGAAGAAACACTAGACAATATTGTATTTTACTGAGTGAATATTTACTTTGATTATTTCTCTTGCAGAGAGGAGAAAATGAAATACTGTTAATTTTAATTGCATATTTCATAATTTTTCATCCTAACTATTTTTAGGCGCATATTTGAAGATTTTTTAGGGCATAAAAATCCTCTCCCTGTTAATTAGCTTTACAAAGAATATGGCACTGCAGAGCAAATGCATTTGCATTGCGGAGTGAAGAGAAGACCCACTTGTCATTTCCCTTTTAAAAGTTGTGTAATGTCGTCTAAATGAGAAACGCACATAACTGAAAATGAAGAAAATCTAGGTGCAAAATAAAAACTATATTTTGACTAATTGTGTGTGAAAAATGGTAAAAATAACACTTATCTGAAATAATTTGACTTGGGAAGTATAGGAATTTAGCTGGGACTTAAAAACAATGCATAAACGTGAAAACCTATGTATAACTGGAGTTTTACCGATTCCTTAAATTTAGTTGTTTTTTTTAAATGAGTTTTTTGTTAAGTGTCTTTTGATTTTGCATAGATATTTGGGCAGTTGTGCTTATTGATGACCTGCCACATTTTGTGGTTTGTGTTTGGCAGATGAATTTGCCTCCTGGTGCAGAATGTGGTACTGTCCCAGCAGCTTCTGGTGGGGACACAAACTCGACAAATGTCCCTCATCAGGCCATTGCTGCAAGAGATGCAAAAGTGGGCTGTGTGGCTGTTGAGAGCTCTGGTGGAGGGAGGCCTGTTGAAGGTGCGGAGATACCAGCTGCCCACAGAGGACCATTGATAGCAAACCCGCTGTCGGCAGCAGTGAACTCTCTGCCGCGGAGTCAGATTCTAACGACACCCAATTCAACTCTTCAGAAGGGTGTAAATGAAGCACTGCAAATCCTGTTCCTGTTACTGAGGCTGAAGCGCCAGCACTTATGCGATGGTTTGCACACTGAAAGCATTGCAGCAACAACATATACTTTGGCAACAACTATGACGGCTTCAGCAGCAGCAGCAACAACTATTACAACAGCAACAGGAACAGGTTAGTTTTTGTTCTTCTTTAAATTGTTTTCTAAAGTTCTTTGAGACGTGAGTCTCTGTGATTTTGTTTTTGTTTTTTTAATTGGGCAATTTGAGATGTCAGTTTGAGTCCTCAAGACTGGTAGTTGACATGAATTAGTAATTTGGAATCAAAGATAACGACAATTTCATTTTTCATTGATGTTTGTTACAGGCCTTTCAAGTGCACTTTCTCTCAAAAATTCTGTGGCTTGTTTGGTAGAGATGATGCACTTGGGGGGCATGTTGGCCGGGATGCATCCACCTATGCCAATCCACCAGATTCCTGTTCCTTTTATGGCTGCTGGTATCCCAGGTCTCGGTTGGCCAGTCTGTCCTCCTGCAGGAAAGATTCCTCCACAGTACGAGGTAAGCAGAACTTGTGTGTATAGCATATAGTGCAAATGTAATAAAAATAAACTATATTCAGCCCTGATATACTACATATCAGAGCTGAATGAAATTTCAATTACATTCATCTTTACAAAGAGTTTGAAATATTTTAATTATTAATTTAGTTTTTAATCTATCAGATAGACTGCATCTACAATTGAATTTGTGGTAATTACAAATGTAGTAATAAATTAAGAAATAAACTACAGAAAGAAGAGAAAAACATTAAGCCTTGAATTCACAACAAAAAATATTAATTTATAAAACTACTCATATTTTGACCCTTGACTTTTAAAAGGCACATTGGAAAGGACAATACAAAACAATATTAAATATCTTCTCGCTCAGTAGTGTTTCAGATCTTCATTATTCAATAGAAATCTAGTTCTAAGAAATGTCTGCAATGTGTCGTGAAAAAGTTTGTAAACTTGAAGTTTGTATTTGTTAATGCTAAATGTTAATTTTTCTTCCAAAGTTCTGCTTACCTCGTACTGTGGAGGAATCTTTCCTGCAGGAGGACAGACTGGCCAGCCGAGACCTGGGATACCAGCAGCCATAAAAGGAACAGGAATCTGGTGGATTGGCATAGGTTGATGCATCCCCGCCAACATGCCCCCCAAGTGCATCATCTCTACCAAACAAGCCACAGAATTTTTCAGTGAGAGTGCACTTGAAAAAAATTAAAAATTAATCATTTTTAAATTGACTTTATCATTAAACTACTATAAGATGACCGTATATTATTTACACAGAATATTTAGGCAAAAAATTATATTTGGATAAATGCAGTATTTAGTGGCACATTCAAAAAATTCAAATTAACGGAGTCTTAATAATTCAAAATTTGATGTGGTGCCTCGAGGTCACTTCCATCCAATTTTCATGCAAATGGCAATGCCCACACTACCTGCTGTTGCTGTTGTTGGAGGGCCTGCATGTGGGCAAGCCACTCCACAGGAACAGAGCCCCCCAGTGTGGAGGTAGCGGAACTTGTGGGTGGGCAAGCAGGATTCTCAACACGAGCACCCGAGGCCTGGAACAAACATCAATGAAAAATGCAATTGTCGTTGTCTTTGATTCCAAATTACTAATTCATGTCAACTACCAGTCTTGAGGACTCAAACTGACATCTCAAATTGCCCAATTAAAAAAACAAAAACAAAATCACAGAGACTCACGTCTCAAAGAACTTTAGAAAACAATTTAAAGAAGAACAAAAACTAACCTGTTCCTGTTGCTGTTGTAATAGTTGTTGCTGCTGCTGCTGAAGCCGTCATAGTTGTTGCCAAAGTATATGTTGTTGCTGCAATGCTTTCAGTGTGCAAACCATCGCATAAGTGCTGGCGCTTCAGCCTCAGTAACAGGAACAGGATTTGCAGTGCTTCATTTACACCCTTCTGAAGAGTTGAATTGGGTGTCGTTAGAATCTGACTCCGCGGCAGAGAGTTCACTGCTGCCGACAGCGGGTTTGCAATCATTGGTCCTCTGTGGGCAGCTGGAACCTCCCCACCTTCAATGATGCATTGTTTTATGAAGTGCATTTATTGGAAGAACTTATTTTTAAAAAGTGTGTACACTTTTTAATATACAAATATGTAATAGAGGAAAAACAGAAAGTACAAACTTAAAGTAAATATACAAAAGGCCATGAAAAGGTGAAAAAATTTAAAATGTTGATGTCTGTATTGAATATTGTTTAATATAAATTGTACAATAAAGGCAATGATTTATTTATTTATATATTTCTTTGTTTATTCATTTTGATTTCTTCAGTTCTGCCATTACCATATAATTAGACTCCCTCTCCACTGATGCATGAAAAGGTCTTAGTCTATCACAATTAAATATTAAATGTGATGAAAACAAAGCCCTGAAATAAAATTTCTAAATATAACAATCTTCGAAAAATTACAATTACAAAAATTACAATTATTTTCATTACCCTGCGCATTCATTAATCTCCACCAGAAATATATTTTTTATGATGTACATTGCTGAAACTACTTCTGTACAAATAGGCACTACTATCACCATTGTCATCATCATCAAAATCACTATCAGTCACTTTCTTCTTGAACTGAATTGAGCAAACTTTCTACCCACACTGTTTGCACAGTTGAAAGTTCGTTGTCAAAATGGAGGAAGTCATTAACTTCTTTATCTATTTTGAATTCTACCCATGTATATAAGATCACTGTCTACTTCTGTCATGTAAATAAATTTGTCGCCTTCACTTACTTCTTCCTCATGGATGTGGAAGGAGCCAGAATGGATACCCTTTTCTGAAACTAATGCATATGGTGGATTGACTCATGTCCTTCATATCTTTATAATGCCAATATAATGTAATGCATTGAGGATAAATATTTTGAAAGTCATTGTGTCCTTCCCTTACTCCATCCAACCTAATATCTATATATTTTATATCTCGAAATATTATTTTAAGATTATTAAAAAAACAGTAAAACCGCATTCTAAATGACAATTTTCTTTGAAAAATTTGGAGTCGTTTGTAAACAAATACAGTAACAAAAGAGTGACAGATTCCCTTATAATTATTTTTTATTTATCTCTGTAATTTCTTGGTTTTCTGGTAACTGCAGTGCTAACTTCATATCCATTTAGCTGATTGTTTATTGCATGGTGAAATGAAGAGCGACAATTGTGCTCAGTGCTATACTACATACTCAGTATACACATACGTATATGAGAATGTAAAACTAATGTTGTGATGCGGAAAATAGCAAAAACATTTGATGAATCAGGCCACAAGAAAAACGCGTGCTTGCCTGCCTCGCTCCCCGCCCGCTCCTCTTACCTCTTACGGAATACATCCATACTCCTAGGATCCAGCACCCTCCCCCGCTTAGCATCAGTGGCAGCGGTGCGTCATGGGGGAGGGGGTTATTGTATTTTGCCAAATTTCATTTTAAGATGCGTCTATTCATCCAATTTCAACGAATAGTGCTATGGATTCAGGAAGCACTTTGTTATCGTGCTAAAAGCCCACATTTTTTATTACTTCCCGGAACTATTCCAAACAAATTTCGAAAACTCATTTTTTAATTTTTTTTCAAAGGGGCTTAGTAGCGTAAATTCTATATTAATAACAAATCAAATTTTGATTACTGATTGAAAATTGTTCCACTTGTTCAGACATTATAAGAAAAGTAATTTTTACTTATTTTGTTGCCGTTATGTGGTGGCAACAATTTGAACTAGGGTCAGTAATGTATAATGAGAATGCCAGAAGATCGAATGCCAAAAATCCTTCACAATTCCCACCTGTACGGAAGGAACCGCAGGGACGAGTCAATAAGGCAATGGAAGGGTACTCTTCAAGACAGAGCTGGCAAAGAGTCTTATCCCGTGATGATGAGTTGACGATAATTATTATTACAATGTAGACTTAAAATTGTAAAGTTGCTTTTGTAGATATTTTGGAATATACTGGAAAATGGGAAAAATGAGAAATCCAGTTTTGCTAGACGTTTTCGAACTATTTGGTTCTCTTCAGCAAGGCGAAGAAGCCTTGGAACGGATTGGATTGAATGAAGTCTGTGCTTCAAAATTGTTGCAGCCAAAAGGCGTTTGCTTCGAAAACGTCTAGCAAAACTGGGTCTTTCATTTTTCCCATTTTGCAGTGACCGCCCATTTGGGATCAAAGTTTATCCCAAGACCTTGGCAACCCTACCAAAACTCAAAATTTCTGTGTGGTATTTGAGACCCTTTGGTCAAGGTGTTTTAAACAAGATACCCTTTGGCAAACACTAGCAAACATATTCTTTGGCTTACGCCTATGTCATCTTTTGCTATACTGTATCGGAAGAAATCCTATGCATGGATTAGGTGCGTGTGTTGTTCACAGACGGACGTTTTGCCAATTGATTTTTCGGTATCAAGGACCCACAAAAAAGCTGGCTTCACCGCGTGTTAGATGACATTGGATTAATCAACTTTTTCGTTTGCAGGGCTCGTTAATAAGTTTTTCTGCAAAAATTCGCTGTTTTCGCGCAGCATTGCATTACTTTCTCTTTACTGTGTTAGCGAGAAGTAAATAGTGTTCAAACGGGCTACATGTTGCAAAGTGCTGGAGCGCTACCATTGTATTTTTTTAAACCTAGTTGGTTTTTAAATAAAGATAAATGTATTTATACTGCAATTGGGAGTAACCCGGCGGCAGCTAATTACATAAATAAGACCATATACCTTTAAAAAGTATAATAATAATGGTACAAAAATAAAATTAGTGGTATTAGGTTTATTCCAACAGCATTCCGAAACACTCCAGAACTAGTCCGCGCATGCGCAGTCTAGTGATGGCCGTTCCAGCAGCAGCTGTCAGAGATTGTGACTGGGAGTTGGGCGTTCCAGCAGGGTTGTTGCTAAGTTTGAAACCAGTCCGAATCAGTTCATGCACTCTCCCTCAAACTAGAAATCCGCGCATGCGTACTTCAGACCCCAAGTTTCACCAATGCCTAACTTCGGCCGCGCGCCATTTACGTTTCCGTCAGGTTTCTGCATAGTTGTTTTATGTCCCGCTTTATATATTTTGATCCTGCTTTGTTTTACATTTTATTGATTCTTGGTTTTTGGCAATTTCGCTTTCTTTCGGATTTTTCCCGTGGTTGGAATTAGACCCTGCTCTATTTTACGTTTTATTGATTTTCTTGTTATTTTTTTTCAAGTATTACTAATCCCGCGCTTCTTTAATTAAAAAAAAATAATATTTATAGTTAAAATGATGGGAAGGGCTCCTGGAACTCAAGAATACATGCGCAGATAATCTTCTCCACGATACGTCACATACACATTTTACTAAAAGAGAGATAGATAAAGAGCCCTTTTCAGAGTTATTTTGTTTTAAAATCAAATAATACTTTATTGACACAATAGAGAGAGTAACTGTAATACAGTTTTATTTGACAAAAATTTACGGATAAGAAAAAAAAAAAAAACAACAAAAAAGAAACGGACACGCACTGGATTTCAATCCTGCTGCATTAGAGCTCAGAAGAAAACGCTTCTACCAATGAGCCAAACAAAACACTTTTCTAGCTTAATTAGTTAACATAAATTATTATTGGGCCAAATTTCGGAACGTTTGAAATGTCTCCAACATATTTCGATAATTTACAAATAATGTTAAAAAATGCATGTCTTCTAATCGAACGGAATTTAAAAACACGATTTTTGGAAATACATACATACATACATGATATTTCATGCACACAGAGAGTCCTACCAACTACGGGCAACCTCATAACTTCTAAACGGTTCCCGATATCGCCTTACATTTTCACTCCACTATGCGGATCATGCGACAAGTAATATGGTGTAGAGACATTGTTGAAATATTTTTTTAGTTTTTGACAAATTTAATCATCTTTGATTTTTTAAATAGACACAAATATATTTTTCTCACTAACAATAGATAGATCATAAAAAGAGGTATGCAATGATGTAACATATGTTAATATTTTGATTGTATTTTGTGCAAAAATTATTACTTTCTGACCTGAGGTTTTTAAATTCCAACGAGCAACAATTTTTTTCTGTAGCTGCCGTCGCAACTGTCGCTTTTGCGAACGTGACCTTCGAGGCTCTCTCCCCGTAAAAGTGCCCGCACACGAAGGCAACCTTCCCAAAAGGAGACAGTTGAAATGGTTGTATATTTATCAGTTGAAATCTTATATATTTAATTTAAAATCACATGGCTGAAAGTATAATTTTTCTTCTCAAAATACTATCAAAGCATTTAACATGTGTTACATCATTGCATTCGTCTATTTATGATCTATCTATTGCTAGTGAGATAAATACTTGGTTCTATTTAAAAAAATTAAAGATGATTAATTTTTTCGGGAACTAACAATATTTTGAACATATCCCCTAAGGCACATTACTTGCCTCATGATTTCACATTGTTGGGCGAAAACTACATTTCGATATCGTGAACCCGGTTTTAGAAGTTATGGGGATGGCCCGTAGTTGGTGAGACTCCCCTTTTTGAAACACACACTGTTGAACAGATAAGAAATAAAAAAAGAAATATATGTAGTTGTACATTCCCCAGCACAAATTAAGTTTGTTTTAGTTTAAATTTGAATATACTTTTGCCTCAACAATTGAACTTATCCTAATGACAAATTGGAAATGAATTCGAGTTGCGAGAAATTCTTTCTTAAAGCATGATTGCCTTCCTGATGTATCTTTTCTTGTCTTCCTATTGATGGTGATTTTTTTTATTTGACGACTGCATTTTGATGGTCAGTTTTGGTGCTCTACGAGATAAAAATCATTATATTTTTGTAAAGTAAAATAATAGAGCAAATACATGAAAGTCATTTCTTCTTGATTACCTATGCATCGCGCACGCGGGCGGTATTTGGATCGCTTTCTGAACACTTTTGCCTGAAAAATCTGTCACTGAGTTTAGCCCAGTGACCAGTGCCCAGGTATTATTAGGGACATATATACTTATCACATAGTGCCTTTTTTAAATTTCGTGTGTAGAGTGTGATTGCATTCAATAGTTCAGGAGCGACTTTCCATAATCTTCATTTCGGTTGCACAGTGCGATCCTTCCAATTCAGAACATGTATCATTCTGTAGAAATGAAACT